AGCAAGATCTGACTTCTGTTGCAGTCTGGATTGCTGAGCATTTTCGAGCAGGAGACTGGAAACTGACACTAGTTGAATTAATAATGTATGTTATTAATATATTAAAGATCTAAACAGTTTAATAAATTCATTTCACAGTGCTTTATGTCATGACAGCCACTGTTGCAACCATGATTCTTTCAAGCCAGGTATATATTTACCTGCCAGGAGGAAATGGGAGTTTTGGCAAAAGAACAACGACCAGTTAGCATACTAGAACTCAAAAAAACCTCCCCAGTCTGGGTTCCAACTAAAATATTCAGCTACAGCACTTTACCTGATAACCAGTTTTGGACTATCTTCAGGTTTCAAAACAAATAGTCTATTAATAATAACTGGATAATCCACGCTACAGAACTACCATTTCCAAGATCTCCACAGACACCCATTTGTGACGTTATCCTTGCTTCATGTATTCAAAGTTACTTTCTTAATACCAGGGGTTTGGAAAGATCCTTGAAAAAGAAAACAGCATTTTTTGGAATTTAATTCTGCAACAAGGGACAGATTCTCACAGAACACACAGGGCTCCAAAGGCAGCTAAACAAGATGCTAATTAGGTGGCTGACATACACAATAGAAAGGAAAAAAAAAAAATCACCAAAAAAGTTCTGTATTTTTCATATTGAAAATTCTGTTAACCCCTACAATGAAAGAGATGTTCGTAAACCGATTTCTGCAGTGAACTATACCAAAATCTGATGTGATAAACAATTGAGCAAAATAAAACAATGACTGTTCAGGGCAATTCCTTACTTTCATACTGCTTCTAATCAGAAAAGTCTCCAACTTCACACACAAAAGGACTGTAATGAACAAAAACCAGCACTTCATCTACACAGACCAGAATTTTGGGGTCACTTTAACTGCATCTGCTTACATCAGCAATAAAATATTTAAGCTGAAAGCTCACTTACAAGACTGAAGAACTTGAAGAAGAATCAAGGTATTTGATGACATTATATAGACCATAAGAATTTACAGCTTCTCAGACATGCTCTTGATTTAAACATGAGTTTTACTCGCAGAAAAGTGGAAAATATTACTTTGTTGATAGAAGCACAGTTAATATGCATTACACAAAAACGTACTTGAGTCAAAGGATTCTTTAATAGAAGGCCAAACACATTTTACGAAGTTATTAATTATGCATTCATTTTTAAAGGTAACTTCACCAGCTGAACTCTAATTTATAAAGACTAACAGAAGTTTGACAGTCAGTACTGTTTGCATTTTGATACTTAGAGAGACACACCACATCAAAAGAACACCTTTTACTCTTGTCCAAACAGTTAAAAAAAGGCATTACCACAAAGCCATGAAGTTGCCCAAGGACTGATGTTTTTACTAGAGATCTAGAATATTTATTCCAGAGCCTTCTCACCTGCAGTCTGAAATTCAGTAAACCAACTCCTGATTCCAAGTTGGTTGTCAGCCAGTTTGTTTTGTTTTCACTCAACAACAGAACAGCTTACGACTTCTAAACATATTTAAGCAGTACATTTTTGCAGACTCATCCATGGTGTAGTCATCTACAGTCAAATTAAAGAAAACTGATGCAAGCCTTGTATTTTTAGACAAGTACTCAGCCTATCAGAAAAAAGGCAATTATGTTCATACAAAATGGATATTGTGGTATATTCTGCTAAAATAACATTTGGTCAATTTATTCATCTCAAAATGGAGATGAGTGAATACTGGTAAGATTTTAAATAAAGTTTAAGAACCATTTCATTGAAGCAACATTTAGAAATCTGAATTACTCCCAAATTAAGATATTTAATAAACTCATCTTTGTCCTTTCTTCTTTTATTACAAAAACAGTTCATCTAAGAGACATTTGAGCACTGCTACTTTCTCACAGTATTGTTTATGCACTAATGAAAGCATAATTAAGATACCATATTCCATTCAGTATTAGTTAAACCTCTCATTAAAGTTCTGAAGAACAGCCACAGGGTGGAGGTAGATGCCTACAACTTGAAATAAGAGGCAGACACGACATACTCTAAGATTTGACCTTCATTTTCTGGTACATAAATATACATGGATTACCCAAATAAATATCACTCACTTTGAAAGTTACTAGAAAGCTAAATTGAGGAGGGGCTGGAGGGAAAACAGAGGACAAAAATAAACACTGTCTCCAAGTTATAAAAGTCTTTACCAAAAAAGAAGTTAAAATTGTAGTGAAATTACCATTGAAACAATACAACAAGTCCTTCTAGAATTTAAAACTGTGCAGCTCTATATACTAAGAGAAGTGAACTGGATCCCTGAGTAACATGCTTGTGATGGAGGCAGACAACAGAAAATAAGTATTGATGAGTTTTATTTTAAACTAAAGCCATAATCCTATGAAAAATGTAGTCCGCAGTCTTACAAGAAACTCTGTACAACTGAAACCAGAACTGAGTTTCATTAATATGTTACACACCACTAGCTGAAGTCCATAACTTTGGTTTTAATGTAAATCATATCTAACCACAGCTGAAGAAGAATCCTTCCTTATTGCAAAGCAGCAGGTACATAGTTAACGAATGGAAAGAATTGGATTTTTAAATGCAATGCTACCTAACAACAGTCGCTAGCCTTGAAAAGGTTTACTTGAAGACCTTCCAAGTGTTACAGAGATTCTTCACGCATGTACTGCTCAATATCCTCTACCCTTTCACACATGGCCCCTGTACACTTATATAATTAAGAATGGTATTATCAGGAACACATTGCAACAAAGCTGTGCAGTGGTTTGTGCAGCATGGGACTGTAATGTTCTTGTATTTTGTAAGCCCAAACCATTGATACCAGGGTTTAACTAGCACTCAACACTAAGACAACATAGTAAGTCTTACCAGCAGTCTTTACCAGCAAAGCCATATAAAAATAATTTCTTAATTACACTGTCCAGAAGTACACAGATTTACGTGTTCCAAGATTTCTTCTCCTATTTACTACATTCAGACCAAAGTAAACAACATCTGCTGCTCCCAAGTGCTTTTACTCTAAGGAAGCTGCAATGACCTATTAGTAAAATCATTCCTAAAGCTATGAGAAACAAGAGACTAAGGTAAACAACTGGGAAAAAAACCACAACTTAGCAGAGTTTTAAATCTGGTACTTATTGGTAAAACAGGTAAGCCAAACTACTGACTTTGGCTCCAACTTCTGTATTTAGCTTCAGACTTACTTGATCCGAGTTTTATCTTATTCTTCATCACTTCACTAAACTAAATCCTATACACATCATTACAAGTCTGAAGTGCACCAAAAGTGTATTTGCAAAGCAACTAGCAAAACAAAAATTTAGCTGAACTATGTATTTTCTTTCTGAAGTCATCTGCATGACAAATTTTTTTCACCAAGAAAAAGCCAGATGTATTCTGAGAAAACACATTCAGATATTAATTAGGTTTGAGCAGCTCCCTCTGATCAAAAGCAAATGGATGAGTAGCAACCAATATTCCAAAAGCATCAGCCAGCAAATACAGTAAAATGCATCTCAAAAATCTCTGAATCTGCCTGCATGTAGGTTAATTCTAAAGCATACAATGAAGCACAAAGTACCTTGAGGTAGAAACCTGACTTCTCACTAAGTGCTTTGGGGATTTTACTCAGGACTACCTCTAGCTTAACCCTGTAAACTGGATCCCCATTAGCATCTGAGGGACATAAGGCATGGTCCTGGACTAATCTTTCAATCTAATTTCATCAGAGAAGTGCAGCTGAAGAACTTTGAGACCACACTGCAGTGTGAAGCAAAGCACGGAAATGGAATGACTGGATATTCACCTGACCAACACACTGTTGACCCAAACTAAAATGCTGATGTTGACCCACACTAACACAGCCACAAAATAAAAAAAAAAATAATAGTTGCATGTAATTTCCCCCAAAAATTGCTCTCTCCCCAGGTGAAAGAGACCTTTATCTCAAAGACTATGAGCTTACATGACACACATGATTACCTGAGAGGCTCACCTCCAAAAGAAAACTTCAAGGCAGGGGCAAGTTCAATTAAAAAAAAAAAAATCATCATTCAGCCAATACCTTAGACAAAATCTCTTAGACGAGTCTTGAAATGAAAGCAGCTCTGGCCACTGACACATTGCATTTTTCTATTCAGCTACTTCAACTCAACATTTTATAGCTTAGAATACTAGTTTGCTACCTGTTAAGTACACACTGCTACAAAATACCCATGGAGACAACATTTAAACATTAGTTAGTTTTAACGCTGGTTGGTACTACTTCAGCAAAGATCAGCAGCATCTACTCTGCTGATAACACTTTAATAAACATCAGGCAGCATCACACTTAATCAACAGTACTGTGAATAGTTTTTCCTAACAGAACTCATACTTGTTTAAAAAACAACCTATGAAAAACTTAACTTTATTTAGCTTTATTATTAAAACAAAGAGTTAAAAGGTTGTTATGACATTTAGAACACGATGCCAGAGATAATTATAAAACAGCAATGAATCCTAATAAAAAAATTAAAATCACATATACTAAGAAAAGTCCCTGTCTCTGGGAGCCAGCTGTGCATAGTGTTCTTCCTGCAAGTAGCCCATCATCTTTCCAGAAAAAAAACCCAACAATAAAATTAAAGGCATCAGTAAATAAAGCTGCCATTTAAAACATTTCCAACTTATTGGGAAGTAATTCACAGAAAGTAATTACAGAAGAAAAGTCAGTGCTTATATTTTTTCTACAATCATGCAATCAGAGCACAAATGGGAAAAAAAGCACTTATATTTACACTTACTCAGTTTTTAAAACCGTGTGTACATTGCCATCATTTAAAGTGCAAGCTACATATCTGCTGAATTAACTGAAGGCATAACAGGTGAGATGTAAGTTAAAATACTGCCACCAGTAGTTACACAACTAACCACAGATGCCAGTAGCATATTTCAAACCCTGAACAACTTAGTGTGTTGCTTCTTCTTGAGTATTACCAGCCGAACACATATTCCATTGCTTTAGATACAATACTTTCATCTTTCCTAGGAGTTTGTCTGTCAGAAACCACCTAGAAGGTGGGAGGAAAGAGGAAGAAAGAAAATAAAGAGAATCAGTCAACACAAAGTTAATTCGTTTTATACCAACCAGGTTTTTTTTCTTTTCTTTTCCTAAGCACTACTGTATTTTGACAAAATACGTTTGAAAGATTTTCAAAACAAGCCCTTAACCTCTGGAAAAGTGACAAGTCATAAATTTATTATTTTTTATTATTATTTTGGGGACTAAACAGACTGAGTTTGTACTTGAACCACATCTTTAAAGAAATGACAGGAGGAGATAAAGGCAAGGGTCACACTGAAGTTAATGTGTGTACAGTCTCATATAACTAAAGTGAGATAGCATTAAAAAGCATATACTTATGTTTCCTTTAAAATACCTGATAGTCACTAGTGGAAGCCTTATATGCTGTTGCAAGAGGTCTCATTGTAGAAATCTTTGCAGGTTGTACTGGTGTGCTGACACCTTTTGTAGGTGGAGTGAAAACTGAAGAAATTGAGGATGTAGAGCTCCGTTCAAAATTTTCCATCACACTCTTAAAAAGATGGTTAATATAATGTAAACAAATACTTAAAAGCAGTAGTTCAACCTTTATTATCTGTAATTATCTATTATCTAGAAGAGTTTGATAAAATATGTTCACATCTCAAAGCTAGCAAAGACCACAGGTAAATTGCCTGTCAGTACAGAGCACACAAGTACACACCACCACCAAGCGTTTTCCTCACTGCATTCATTTGTATGTTGGGTTATGCCATCGCAAAGTAGTGGAAGCTTGTAATCTGTTCACTGTACGTACTAAATGTCAGCCAAGTTTGAAACAGTATAGAGAAAATAAACTGTAAGACTTGCAACAAACTTCAAGTACTAACTTTTTTCAGGCCCAATTGAACTAAGTAGTGTAAAATCCTCTCTCTAAATACTTCTAAAATATTTTACCTGATCCATATAGGACAGTCTCCAAGCCTTTACCATAAACTTGCAGCTTTTTGCTCAGATTCAATTTGCCAAGGAGTTTCACTCAGTCCCCTTACGAAATGCTAGAAAAGGAGTCAGAAGGCTCGATTTTGTAAGCTCATGTTTAGAAAAGAACGCATGTAGAATGGAAGAGGCAGCAAGTGACTTGGTAGGAACCACGAGTTCCACGAGAACCCAGAGAAAACAATGTGGGAAATGACAACCAGCCTGGGGAGACCAAATTTGCTGCATTTAGACTCAGTGGAGCACAACATTCAACCAGCCTAAGGACAGCAGAAATTCAGAAGGGCATCCGTCAGGAAACAGCTATCCAAAATACAGGATAGGATTGGTGTCCAGTGTGGGTAGCAGCTGACTCCACTCAGCACAAGGGGAACCCATGGAACTAACTGCTACTTTTCAATCAGAAGCCTAAGCACTGATGTCAAATCCATCATATCTAGTTTTCAATTGCAAGGAAGAGTTTTACAGCCTAATGCCAAACCCTCAATGGACTAGTGTCCAGAAATCTTTTGCCTCCAGTTCTACAGATTAATGTTATGGGTTTATTTGTGATATTTGAAAGTGGACACTATCCACAAAAGACATAATGAGAATTCAAAAGCAACAAAGATCAGATGCCTGACAATTAAATGTCTTGGATCATTACTTCTAGAGTTTCAGCTTATAGGCAAGTCATTGATACAAACTGGACACCAAAACAGTAAATAAGGTAAGAAGAGTCTGGAAGCCCTACCATCAGAAGCCCACAGAGGAAAGGGGCACTGAAGTACATTTGTTTCTGAATTTTAACCAGCATAAGAAATGTTTCAAACTGATAAAAAATGAAGTAATTGCAAGCTCAATTTCTAGGGCTGCCTTCTCAGAAGGGTTTACATTTGAAAGCTTACATTACTCTTTAGCATCACTTATCCTTAGAGGAGACCAAAAAAATAATCTGTGAACTATAAAAGAATGCCTGTCATTTGCTTAAGCTAATGTACAGTACCCAATGCAAAGTACTGCAAGAGTTAATGGTCAGGACATTATCAATGCCTAAAAACCAGCAGCTCATGATAAAATTAGACTGAAATACAGCCATGCCTACCCCAACCACTACTTACAATAAAGGGACATGGTTTTGTGGGGGCACATGGGAGAATAGGATCAGGACTGTCTTGCTAACAAATTTTCAGTCTGATGTACTAAGATAAACTGAAAACCCAGAATCAGATAAATAGTCACATAAAAAAAGAGGGACAATTAGGAGCAATAACAGTCTTAATCTGCCATCACATACCTACTACAGCCCCACAAAGTACCACAAATTCCAGTCTGAGAAGCTCTTTTATCTCAATTGGCTCTTATGTTATGGTTTCAATTCATATCTTGTACAGCAATATAATTCTGTGCATTGTAACTTCCAAGGAGTGCAGAGATTTCCCATAATGATCCTTCTCAGCAGGAAATCTTGTCAAATACTTAAGAAAAACTCAGGTAAGATATAATAGACTATACCTATATAACCAAACTACCTATGCTTTGCAATTCATAAAGAAAAAAATTAAAGAGGTCATTGAATATAAAGAGGAAGCCCAAAAGCAGTGTGCCTTATATTTAAATAAAAGCAGCTGTTAACTTACTTTATCTATACATGGCTTGACACCAATCATGATAGATTCACCAAAAATTCTTCCATCTTTGCTTAAGGCTTTCCGGGCTTGAAGCTTAGACTGGTATCGAATATGCATCCAGTTTCCTGTGTTGGACATCTATATGAGATTAAATGAAAATTGTGAAATTTAGCCTTTTAAAGAATGAGCCAGAATGTTTTCAGAAATAAGTCTCAAACTAAGACATACCACATGCTTTAATATGTTTCCATACTGAGCAAACTGTAGAAGAATATATGAAGCTGATGCTTGAGGATATCTGAAAGACAGAAAAAATACCCCCAAAATTATAACAAGTAGTTGAAGAATTCTGGTGCTAAAATACAACCAGATGAAGGGTTTTTAGAAATCCAAGAGACCAGTGTGTTAATGCCATTTTAGAAGCAGTGACTTGGGGAATATTATCTTCTAGGCATTTTTACTTCACCACACACCTCAAAGGTAGAAAGCTGCCTTTCCCACTTGAAAAAATTAACATGTAGCTTAAGTTAAGGTGCTTCACGAAAATATATGCATTTGCTGGCTTTAACCACAGTTGTATTTCCTGCAGAACCTAGGAATGCCAGACAACAGCAATGTCCAAGTACTTCTTTCCATATGAAGCAAAGACTTCACCCCTGATTTTTCTAATACTTTGGAAATCAACTTACCCAAATACTGTTACCCATGTGTCATCAAGTTGATCTTCTGAAGTCAGGGAATCACCCTGAGTATAAAAAGGATCTAGCTGAGCAGGAGATAGAGTAGTCTTCCTAGGCTGCCCAATACTTGCAGGACTGAACATACTCGAAGCTGTTAAATTGAAATGGCATTGCTTAACAAATTACTTTTGCAAGACAGATAAGCTTAAGAGCCTATAGTAAAAGAATAAATTCAGTATCAAGCATTCACTTGTATATGGAAGAGTTTGATGGGAGATTTATTTGCAGACACAGACAAACAGTAAGTCAATCTAAACTTCACGTCTGCAAGCATGCTAGTAAGTTTTATGGCTAGCAACCTAGCTTCCTCTTTGACCTCTGAATGCCAGCAGCTTAATACAGAAGCCAAATAGGAACAAGACAGCGGAATTAAGCTTAGCAAGAAGCCACAGGTTCATACACAAGATAGGAAACCTTATGAAGATGGAAGGTGACCCATCAATCTCAGCTGCTTCACTCAAGTACAACTACCTCTGTGCTCAGTTCAACAACAAATTTTGAATAAGGAAAAAGTAAAGTTGGCTGAAATTCAGTCAGAGTGGAAAAGTATTTCCTATTCACATCTGCATCCCTTTTGAAAAGCTAGTAAATAGAAGATGCAACTCCTTCACAAATTAGCAAGGAGTTGATGTAGCTTGAACAGTGATATCTTTGGATATTAGGAAAAATTTCTTTACTGAAAGGGTTGTCAGGTATTGGAACAGGCTGCCCAGGGAAGTGGTTGAGTCACGATCCCTGGAGGTATTCAAAAAGCGCGTCAACAAGGCACTTCAGAACATGGTTTAGTGGGTGTGGTTGATGGTTGGACTTGGTCTTGAAGGTCTTTTCCAATCTAAGTGATTCTATGATTTGAGTATTAAGGAAAGCAGTAAGGAAGTAGATTATGTATTTTCACAGGACATCTACCTGTTCCAGGAGTTGATGGCATAGTTCCAACCAATGGGCTCTGTGTTAGAGAAAAGCTGGCCTGTATTAAAATACAGAAAGTAAAAAATCATTCTTAGAGGTACATTCCACATATCAGAAGAGATCATTTTCAGGTAACTTAAGCATCAGGCAAGAATATTAACTGTTGCCTTAAGTTACTCCTAACTTTTAAGAGTAAGAACTGACATTTACATGTATATTTAATACAAGATTATTAAAAGTTATTAATGAAAAGTTATTTGACAATGTTTTTACATTCTAGCACACAACCTAGCAGATAGCCAGGACATCCAGTATGCCTCAGCTATTACATCCTGGAATTTCCAGCTGATTACTAAGCCTTAGAAGAGAACGCAGTTAACTTCCCTGATCAGAGGCTTAAATGCAAGTATCAGAGATAGTATGGGAGTGTAGAGCAAACTACAGAAGGGAAGCACCACAAGCAACAGGATTCAGGGTCCGTGTACAATTTTTTGTCATCTAACAAAAAAGCTACCAGTATACAAGAAGAAAGCTTATTTAGGTTTAAGGTGAGCTTTAGGTAAGAGGAACTGAAAAATCTGTTACCTAACACAAATCACACATGCTTTGTGAAACTAAGTAGCTTTAGGTATCCATCCTCAGCAACCTTACAGTTTTAACTTCTTCAAAATAGGCATCTCATTATTGCTGTAGTATAGTAATTCACACATTCATGTGCATCCTGCTGGAAAAGATGCCAGCATCAGAAGTTACCAGCCTCTGATTTTCACAGTCTAAAGGGCTTAGAAATCATGGAAGCATAACCCTCACTTGTATTCCTCATCACTAGACTTGCTTTCCCTCTCAACTACTTAGTGCAGCTGCACTGAAGGAAAGTATACCTGAAGTTTTAGCTGCTAGTAGTTATTTTCTTGTTAACATAGAAGGATTTCAACATCCAAAACAATTTTAGTGTATTTTTAGCCTGAATCATGGCATTTCTTAGATACGAGATCAAACAAACTACAGCACCTGTAGACCTAGCAACATGCCTTCTGACAGCTGCCTTTGTTGTTGTTGGTGGTGGTGGTTTTGTTTGTTTTGTTTTTTAAATATCCAGTCCTTTAAGACAGTATTGGATTCTGTGCTTCACAGAGAACTTGAACTTTCAGGATAAACTTTTCAGGAGGCAACACTCAAAAGACTGCTCATTCAGTGAAAGGCCTTCTCCTTGCATCAAAAGGATCATGTTCACTGAAAAAGAACCTACTAAGGCTTGACTGCTCACTTGAGGTAAGTAGCGGACTTTATTATTAGAATGACCTTCTAGAAGTTTTACTGTTACTCTCAAAATTAACCCCACCTCTCTGCCCAAATTTTGATTTTTATATTGTACTCAGCACAAAATTCCTTCTATTTCAGTAAGTGCCTCTATTGCCCACTAAAAGAAAAGATAACACGTATTTGGACTTTTCTGGCAATCAATAGCCCAATAAATACAACAAGGTGAAAAGCCACAACAAGTCTGCATCTGTCATGTACAAAGCATAGCAGAGGCATGATTTGCCTTTTTCATCCTCTACAGTATCAAAAATCAGTAACAACAGAAGATAGCTCCGTGACTGCAGCTCCCATTTAGACTACACAGGCACACCAAACACCCAGAGTAAGCAACAGCATGATCTGAAGACTCACCAATCATTTTGCTACAGTTTATATAACTGAGTTAAAGAATTCACTGAAGCAGTAAACTAGCTCACATCTTCTGCTAAGAATAGGCCAGTACCTAAGCCACTTACTGGTCGTCTTGAGGTTAGAGGCGTTGATCCAAGTCCTGGACTAGATAATTCATCATATATGCTCCTAACTGGTGGAGCACCGCTTTTATCTTTATGTGTAGGGACTACTGGTTGTGGGGGAGATCCTCCTGCAATTAAAAGAAACAAATGAAAAGCATGAGAAAACTTGTAATTTTACTCCACTGCTACTTGTTCTTGGAATTTCAACCATAAATTCAGCCATGAAAGATGTTGATTGTTTCACTGGGGGTTTGCAAAACCATCTGGCCTACCAAACTGCTCAGGTTTCAATGTTCTATATAAGAATATCACATATGTGTCAGAAACTACCTCCTTACACAAGTACCATCTAAAACTTTTAGACCTTTTATAATCCCAGTATATTCACTACTGACAGGAACTTGTTCTTTTTTATGAAGTTCTGAGCACAGCTACATCTTCCTATTTTAAAGGCAGGTTAGTAATGTATTTTAATTGTTTCAGAGACTAACTTCCCTGTAGCAGAGATGAAAAAGCAAGGTTTTTAAGATTTGAGACATTCTACACGCTAAAGAACCATACCAAAATGCTCACAGACATTGCACAAGCTGTCACATTCCCACCATCCAAATTCCCTTCCCTCCCACGTAATTTCATATTAAATAAAAATGTAAGCTCTTGAGAGCAGGCACTAGCTTGCATTTAGACAGGATGAAGTTAAGCCAGATTCTCTGCTATTTTGTAAACTTTGGGACTTCCAGTATAACAGAGAATTAAATTCACTGAAAGACCTTGACATATCTCTGAACACTTTGTGTGGGTTTACCCCAGCTGGGGTGGGGGGTGGGCATGGGGAGAAGCAGTTCAACTTAAATTAAGCTTTTCCAAAGTACTTTTCAATCCTAAATTCTGAGCTTCAAGACTCCTCTCTGAACTGTTTAACACATCCAAGAACTGTTACAGTCTATTATATAAAGCACTCTCCCATCAAGGTTTTCAGTTTAAGTGATATACTTTACCACTCATTTTGGGAGGCCTGTGTTAGTATCTTACTAGTTATCCCTTTTCCAGAATTGATACTCTGAGGCTGTAATAAACCCTTTTGAAAACAATTAAGTGAAATTCACATGACTATTTTCAATTTCATAAATATTTTCCTAAGAGGCTTGTACGTGGTGGGGACAGACAAGAGCAAGAAGCAGGAGACAGAGACCACCAATCATAGAATAACTCAAGTTGGAAGGGACCCATAAGGATCGTCAAGTCCAATTCTGCTTGAAATTGAAAGAAAAGAATATCTACAATTATCTTGCAGTACTTTAATCCTCAATTTCTCCTTCAAAATTACTAACACACTAACACCAACAGATATTTACATTAAGCCAACTGATTTAATACAAAAGGCAAGATCACCCATGACATGAAATAAATCAATGAAGCTGTTAACTACTCACTCACACTTTTCAGAGAAGAGACATATAATACCACCATCTTAGAAACATAGGTAAGGACTTCTTCTAGTCGAATCAGTTAGGTGGTTGGAAAGAGATGAGCATTTACAGCTAGGAAAGTCACTACTCCAGCCCAATTACAGCAGACATTAAGATGGTAAATACAACCGCTAGATACTAGTTAAGAAGTATTTCTTAGTTTATAGAAGTCTGACAATCTATAAGTGACTTATTAGAATTCATTGCAAAGAAATCAGCAGCTTGCACAAGCTGCATTTAGCTTGCCAGCAGAAATCTCTGTTTTAAAGAGAAAACATTGATGGCTGTATGTGCAATTGACTTGTAAAGAGACGTATAAACTGATTTTACATTAGGAGAGGTTCATATTACTTGCCCTGTAAAAGCAACCTTTCCCGGTACCCAAACTGGCATGGTTAAAACCTTTATTAAACTTAAGTCTACTTTGAGCAATTTAGCTAAACTCCACTGAATACATTTGAGCTCACCATTTATTCAATGAGTTGAGTTCATTTTCAGAAAGTTATAAAACTACAAGAATTCAAGTAGCCATGTAGAGCAATAAGACAAACCAAATCTTTACTTTCAGGTCAGTTTTTCATCATTTAACAAATTCTGACCTGCAAGTAGTGGAGACCTCATTTCCATTACACCAACTGAAGGGCCGCTTAAAGCACGTGGTTGCGGAGTCACTGGCGCAGGTAAATCGCCCATCAAGAATCCAGGAAGAAACTGAGCACTAGCTCCTGGTTTTGGAGATGTCGGGGAGCCAAGAGTCATTGGCTCTGCTCCTGTGTTAATGAAAACAAAATTTAGCAACATGGAAGAAGCCTTTTCCATTGCTTAAATAGTGGTTCTATTAAAGAAACGTAAAACAATATGCAGGAAGTGACTAAGATGGTTCTAATAATTTCTTTTCCAAATAAGCAAAGTTTATCATAATCTTGCGGGTTTTGCAATTACAAGAGCTGCCACGCTGAGACTTCGTTCTTAAAACATACTACTTTGCTTATGCCCGGATTTCTGATTTTGAGGGTAATCACGGTTTTGGGGTTGTTTTAAAGGCGCGTCTTACGTAAAAGCAATCAAGCCAAGGCTAGATTCCCCTCCCCAGCCGGCCGGTTCCGCGCCCCAGCCAAGGGGAACGTGCTTCGGCGGAGCACCGCGGGCTCTCGCTAGCCACATCGCGGCTTCTCCGCGGCCCTGCCGCCCCAGCCGGGCCCGCCACACCCCTGAGCCGCCCTGGGGTTCCGGGGTGCTTCAGGGACGGATCTTCGATCACGGAGCGCCAGCGCGGCGGCTGCTCGGTTTAACCGCAGAGGAAGGCACTTATCCCGGCGCGATCTCCCATCACCCACTCGAGCCCGGCGGCGGCCGGACTGCCCCCGACGCGTACTCCGCCTGGAACGAGGGACCGGCCCCAGCCCCAATCCCCTCAGCAGCCCAGAGGAGCGCGGGCAGCGCTGGGAGGGGAAGAGCCGGACAGCAGCGACCTCTGAGGCGCCTCGAGCCGCCCAACGGCCCCGCACGCGCCCAACCGCCGCACGGAACGGCGCAAGCGGGGCGAAGCGGCGCCCGGCAAAACCGAAGGGGGCTACGACGCCGAGAAGGGGGGAGCGGGGGCGGCCCCGCGGCCCGGCTTACCTGCGGGCTGCGGATCCATGTCGAGGGCAGCCACGTCGGCCCGGGCGGCGGGAAAAGGCCACCAGCAGCTCCGCCGGGCCCTTTCAAACGGGACGGAACTTCCTCACGCCGTCACTTCCGACCCGCCCTCCCGCCATCTTGTGAGGGGCCCTGGCCGGGAGGGGAGGGTGACGTCCTCGCGCGGCCCGCCCCCACGCCGTGGGGCAGGTGTTACCTCAGCGTAGAGGCGCGCGGCCGCCGGGCCTCTGCCCCGAACCGCCTACCTAACACACACACGACTTAAAGAACCATAGTTGTCGTTACAAATGCTTGTCCTGGACTATTTCTATGGGCTAAGAATTCATGGACCTGCAGCTGAGGTGAAGTGGGAAAGCTTACTCACCAGGGACAAGACCGTCAGTCATTTCTCAGGCTGACAGCACACACAGCCACCCACATATGACATGGAAATGCAGTGACCCGTTCCCCCATGGAAATGGGGAAACTGTAGAAGATTTTAGAAAATTTAGGACTATAAGGCTGTTAGAAATTAATACAGAATTAGTTAAGGTTATTAATGGCAACAGAGCTGCTCAACAGGCCATGAACAGCATTTTCAGCCTGCCGCCCAGTATAGCCCCAATCCAGGACCGGATTAAAACCCAGTCCAGCTAATCAGTAGAGACAGATCAAACAAAAGATGAAAAATCAGCAAGACAGAGGTGCTTAGCTGGGGAGTGATTAAAATATGTAGAGCTTACAAAGGTAAATGCAAAATAGTTAATGAAACAACCAGAGAGGTTTTCTCGGAATTGTGTAGGTATGAGACGTCAAGGTAAAGGGGACGAGAAGATGGCTGACCCAAGACGGACTTCGAAAACCACAGGGTGATGACCAGACAGAACGAGACAAGAATTGATGAAATAAGATGATGATGAGTGATAACGACATGGGAACCCAGATCAACTGGAAAATTACAAAGAATTTGGACTGAGATTATAAACTACCTAAAGGGTATATAAAATTGAGAGAAAATTTTGTGGGTTGCCATTCACTGTGGTGGTGGCCCAACTCTGAGTTGTTAATAAAGCAAACCTAGAGAAACCCATAACTGAGAATTTTTTAACAGAA